AGTGTGTGTGTGTGTGTGTGTATGTGTGTGTGTGTGTGTGTGTGTGTGTGTGTGTGTGTGTGTGTGTGCGCGCGAGCGCGCTTGTTTGTGTGACCTACATAAGTCTGTCAGCGACATTACCTGCCGTGAACTCCCAGGGGGTTGGCCAGACTGAGGGGCGGGTCTCTCTTGTGGTCACTTCTGCCGTTGTCGTCCTTCTCCTTCGTCGTGTTGTAGTGGCTGTTGTTGTTGTTGTGGTGGTGGTTTCGGATGTTGTTGTAGGCGTTGTTGCCGTTGTTGTACTTGCCGACGTCGTTTGTGTGGTTGCTGTTGCTGATGCTGCAACTGCTGCTACTGCTGCTGAAGTTGACGTGGAAGATATCTGACTGCTTGCGTCTAGCGGCCCTGCTGTTATGCTGGGGTGCCCACTTATCGGTTGAGTGGCAAAGACTTCTGATTCAACTAATTCTGAAGCCAACTCCGGTGTTAAAGTGTTTGAAAACAATTCTGTGAATATGTCCTTTGAAAGGGACTGATCCGATCCAACTATCGCGGCAGACTCGGCTTGCGGTGATACGATACTAAAGTCTATTCCACTTAATGAAGTAGGAGAGTAAGGTAAAAGTTCGTCTGATGATGCCCAAGGATGGACAAGTGTAGGGGTCATCAAGCTTCTGGAGAGACTTTCCCCGGACAGTACAGACCCATCTAGCCCCTCTGTGCTAGTTGAAATGGTTGTTGCGACACCTCCACATTTATCGCCAGCCGGGCAAGAAAACGAGGAAGACCAAGGAGAGATATCGGCTATTCCAACACTTGAACTTGCCCGTGTAAAATACGACGTGGCAACGGTTGGAGTCGGCGAAAAACTGTCCGGATGACTTCCTATAGCTAGCGAGGCGGGCTCTCCAACCGGTAACACTGTGGCGTCTACAGTAAGGTCCACTAAATGACTTGGTAGGTTCGAACCCGCAGACATTGGCTCATCCTTACCAGATAGAGAACTGGACCAGGCAGTCAGCGTGTGGTTGTGTGGGGAACCGAGTACGTACGAGGCTGCTATAGAAGCTTCGAGATCTACACCGATAGACGACGAGTTATTTGTCAACGTGGCTACTACATTCGAGCTTGCGGATAGAAGCTGCGACGCCTGCAAAAATCTTTCTCCTGTTGACGAATAGACGACGTGGCTGCTGCTGTTAGTCTGTGACGTGGCAGAACTTTCTAGCAAGAGACTAGAGTTGTGTAGAGAGTGTGCGTCTGTTACTGAGGCGGTGGTACCCTCATAAACGATGCTACTACTGTTTGAGCCTCTCTCAGAAGACACGCTTTGGGACGAAGATAACGCCATCATTGAAGACGATAACTGTGACGTGCCTAGATCTGGTGATGATGACGATGATGATGGTGAAGATGGCGATGATGACATCGGGGATGAATAATCTGTCTTCAGAAAAGCCGTCGTAATGGCGTTGGTTAAGGACGGTGTGCGGGTCAAATCTGGCAGGATCAGCTCTGGTCCCTGGCTCGTGGACATGGAGGGCTGGAGGTCTGGCGGCGCGCTGGATGACGTCATGTATACCCCCGTGTGCTGTGACGTGGTCCCATGTGATGACGTATGTGGGGTCGCCATGACGGTAGACGTGGGGTGTACAGGCTGTCTTGACAGTTCAAAGGAAGATGATGATGACGATGATGGTGATGATGAAGATGATACTGTAACCGATGAGGAGGAAAACGACAGTGACGATACTAACGACGATGTTGATGACGATAATGGTGGTGATGATGATGATGAAGACAACGAAGATGAAGATGATGATGCAGACGAATCGGCAGATACTCGGAAGTGTGAGGAACCGATAATGGAGCCAGCCATGTCTGAGCCTGAAGGTAGTGTGGATAATGAGAGTGAGGCAGACAGACGTGGAGAGGAGGAAGAGGAGGAAAAGGAAGAGGAGGATGAGGAAGAGAAAACAGAGGACAATGAGGAAGAAGACTTGATCATACGGGACGTTGGTGAACCAGACGAAGAGGAAGATGGAAAGTAAGAAGAACCTTCTAGAGACGATGGATTTAGCACTGGTCTAGATGAAGGCAATGTTGTCGATATTGTAGTTGTTGCTGACACTGATGATGGTGATGATGATGATGATGATGATGATGATGATGATGATGATGATGATGATGATGATGATGATGATGGCACGACAACTGAAGGAGTAGCCACAATTGTCTCAGAAGCTACAATCGCGGAGCTCCGAGTAAGCCCCTCCTCATCTCTAGTAGAGGGAGACGGCTGCAAAGTCGGTGTGGGGATCACCGTTCTGTAACCGCCTGCACCACCACCCCCCGACCTCCTCTTCCTCCGATGCTGTCGGTTGATGAGCGAATTGGAGGAGGCGACGTACCAACCCATCAGCCGGACCCCCAGCTCTTCCTGTAGACGCCCGCCGTCCACGTTATGCTGTAGGACTTTGACAAAGTCTGCAAGGTGCCTCACTGTGGGACAAGGCAAGTGCCACAAAAGCTCCACATTCTCCTTCAGCGTGCACACTCGGTCGTCGGAGCCCGGCCCAGCAGACACCAACTGGAACCCGTGCTGAACGGCCTTCAGACCTTCACCTTGAGACGACGCAAAGGTCAAGGTCGAGATGGGAATGGATAAGAACTCCGCGAGGGACTCTAAGATCTGCAGTCTTTTCCGCGGCTGGAGACCGCTCATTGTGGTGCAGAGAATCAAACTGGAGACAACCCGATCCCCGTCACAGTCGTAGTTGGAGGCGGAAGAGGAAGAGGAGGAGGAGGAAGGAGAAGAAGACGACGACGACATTGCCGACGAGCTTAATTTGTCTTGATCACGTGACTCGGACCGCCAGGTCAGACTCTGATCAGCCACAGCAGCACCAGCACTAGTAGCACCAGCAGACGTCATCATATCCCACGTCCATGGCAGCACCGACAGCTCAAAGACGTCTGAAGAAGCCTGGCATTCATCCTCAGCTCCAGATAGGTCGTCGCCGTCGTGATATCCGGTGTGGTGTTGTGGTGGCGGGGGGCAGCTGGCGCGCAGGACGAGCAGCGTGTGGCCCAGGTCTTGTGAGAGAGGCACGCCGGACAGTGTCCGAGATGTCCGGTTGTAGGTCAGCCATGGGGGGAGGTCGCTGGTGCCGGAGTCCGTGGCCGTCTCAATCTGGGGACACACACACAGAGAGGTGGTTATGTTATGTACAGTGTTCGTTTTGAGCCTAAGAGAGAGTTTTACGGCACTCAGTTTTACTAGTTTTAGTAAGAGTTTTACGACACTGACTTTGTTTTAATAATAGTTTCACGGCATTTAGGTTTGTAAGAGTTTTACGGCACTGGCAACACAATAAGGTCATATAAGTCCCGAAGTTTAGAGGTGTTACAAGAGAGCAACAAACATAAAAAAGAAGGAGGAGAGATAAAGACGATAGTTGTTTGATAGGAAAGAAGGAGTAAACCACACCAGAGCACCCGCCAATCACCCATTTTACGGCACTTATAAAACAAATCTGTAACAACAGTGAGGAGCAGTTGATATTTCGAGTACTTGTTTTGAGCTTAAGAAAGAAATGTACGGCACTTTTATTAAAAGTGCAGAAGATAAGACGTATGGTTTTCAGTTCTAGTAAGAGTATATTGACCCTTGCAACACAATTAGGTCATATTAATTGATTTTTAAAACGAAGTATCGAAGATTAGAGGTGTTATTAGAAAAAAAAGAGAGATCCGGACGGAAGATGTTTGTTAGGAAAGAAGGAGCAAACCACACCCGAGCGCCCCTCAACAACCGACAGGGTTAATTTGGAGTCAAAAGAAATTCGTCTGTACTCAAAGTATTGATTGAAAAAACAACAGTAAAAGCATCAATTCGTGAGATTTTCAAAGCAGTTGTTCAGGTCATACGTGCAAAGGTATAGGTTAAAAGAAGTAAAAATTGTTATGTACTACACTAGTTTCGAGTTTGAGTTTTGAGTTTTTGAGTTTGAGCGACAGAAACAACAGATGGATAGAAAAGAAGTAAGATTTACCAGTAGCGCCCTCTAAGCACTCGAGTGTGGTCTAGCTAAAACGTTACGAATCCTTTTTATCAGTTAAAATGTTTACTCATTTGAGTGCACGAAACTAACCCATTACGCCATTAGTTCGTTTGTGAAAAATGTATTGAAACTTGTTATCAGCAAACGCCCCCCTCCCAACCTCTCTCTCTCTCTCTCTCTCTCTCTCTCTCTCT